TCTGCAGTGAGCACAGAGCTCTAGCAGCATCCTGGGCTGGGGAGATAGAGGGCACCATTACTCAGCAGTGGTGCCCTGGGCACTTGCTGGGTAAACTCAGGCAGTGATGTGGAAAGAGCTTGCAGCTTCTCAGATACAGGTAGGTGTTCATCCAATAGGACCAGAACAGGAAAAGAAGAAAATAACAAAGCTGCTCAGTGGCAAAAGTCACTGGAGATCCTCAAAAACTTTGGAAGCATTTTAAAGGCTGGAGGACACCCAGCCAGTGTGGCTCAGTGGTTGATTATCTACCTATGAACCTGGAGGTCACAGTTCAATTCCTAGTCAGGGCACATGCCTGGGTTGCAGGCTCAATCACCAATAGGGGACATGCAGGAGTCAGCCAATCAGTGATTCATTGTTGATGTTTCTAACTCTCCCTCACCCTTCTCTGAAATCAATAAAATTATATATATAATTTTATAAGGCTAGAGGAGCTGCGTTAGTAGATGGAATGTAATTCAAATAAATTATATTTATTAAAGTCAGCATGACTCTATATATCTCTCACAGGTAGTATGGCCTAGGAAAACATGGGTCCACATATGCAGATAGCTAGAAAGATATAAACGGACAAATAATAGAGTGCAATACATGCTGTAATAGGAAATTATACAAGGTATATAAAATGTATACACATACATATTCACCCAAGTGGCTGAATATGGGTCATAAGAACCTGTGCATTTTATGTTTTAAACAACTTCTTGTTGCATTTTCCCAAAATGCGCATTCCACAAATGCAACTCAGCCTTTCTACCTATAGCAAGAATAATAGAAAATTAAAATTTTATAAAGGCATGTGGCCCGTGTCAAATCATTATGACTTTTCTTGTAATAAAAGGTCTATTAATATGGATGAGTTAAAAAATGATCTAGTTAATCAGTTTGAGACATGATGAAAATCCATCCAAGCAGAAAAAGAACTAAAAGTCTGTACTTTCAAAAGCCAAGAACAATTAAATCCTTGCAAGGAAAATGTCCAAGAGAATTTCACAATCTTTGGCAAGTGAAGATGAGGAGACTCAAAGATATTGTTCAGTTAATTCCCCACCATCAGAAGATTGAGGTGAAGCTCTAGCATGCTGTTTTTTCCCTGAAGGGACAAAAGCCTTTTTTTTCTTTATTGATTAAGGTATTACATATGTGTCCTTATACCCCCATTGTCTCACGACCCCATACCTCCCACTCATGCCCTCACCCCCCTGTTGTCTGGGTCCATTGGTTAGGCTTATAAGCATGCATACAAGTCTTTTGATTGATCTCCTCCCTTACTCCCACCCTCCCCTACCTTCCCTCTGAGGTCTGATGGTCTGATCTGATCTATGCTTCTCTGTCTCTGGATCTGTTTTGTTTTCTCCAGTATCTCCAAAGGGTGGGGCAATTATATTTAACACAAGGGCAATTGTACTGCTACATGCCTTGGGGGATTTTTGTACATAATATAGAGATTATTTACCAGGTGCCTTGACTGGGAATCCAATCATTGACCTCTTGATTCCTGGGTTAATGTTCAACCACTGAGCAACACTAGTTAGATTATTTTTAATACTGCTTGTTATGATCCACTAATCGATTTTGAAATCAATTTGGTGTTGCAATCTGTGTATAAGGAAACAGATGGGACTAGACTAGAATAGGTGATATCACAGCACCTCTGACCTAAGAAGGGGGCTTTATGAAATTTTTGTGTCATTTCTCTGAGTGTATGCATTGGTACTGAATCACTGTTCAATGCGTTTCACATAGTACATCATGGTGAAACAGTGTTTAAATATATTGAATGAAATGGTGAGGCTTATATTCTCATTTTTCCCCAGAACAAGAGTTCCTATAAATTCAACACAGTTGACAGAGGTTGTATGGAAGTCATTTTATAAGATCCCACTTCACAGAATGTAGCACTTTTGTCCTATTTGGCATTTCTGCAAAGGTCTTAACAAGGCATCTAATGTGGTAGTGCCTCATTCCAAATATTCTTACCTGCACAAAGGCTGCCTTTGCTAATTAATCCTCTAGACTAGCTTCAGTTTTTAGTACATCTCTGTTTGCTTCAAGGTGGTAATTCTGGTTTGTATCTAATCCCAACTTTCTTATACCACTTTCCTCAATGTATTATTGCTTTTTGTTTTGATAATGTCAAACAATCATCTTCAACCTACTTATGACACAAGAATCTATTTCCTGTTTTATAATAACAGGGTTTGAAAAACATTAAACATCAATCAATGTAAGTATAGTATGCCTAGTGCTGAGATATGTGTTAGAAGACATAATAACTACTGAATGTTTCACTATCAGGTATTATACAATCTAGAAAATGAAGGAAAAGATAAAAAAGAGTTTCAAGGAATATAAGACATTATGTAATTAATGACTAAATTGTGTGGATTGTACAGATAATAATAAGGGGAGAAATTGATGTAAAAAGACTAGAATAGTCCAGGGATATTTTGGGATGGATTCAAAACTAGAATCCATCGGGAATATTTCAAGGTGAGTTAGTTGAAGATTTTCCTTCTTCTGGGAAGCCTGGGAATAACTGGACAAATGAGAGTTTTGGTGACATGAAAATTAGAAGGATGATGAATATCCTAGAGCATGGGAAACCTTTGAAGGCATTACTTGCTGAGATTCACCCTGACAGAGCCCTGAGAATCCAGGGGAGCCCTGAGGGGCTTCAGGAGTGTGGAAGGCCATGGAACATGAAGGTGAGCATGTTTAAAGATAACCCAGTGCATTTGAAATCTTTCCCAAACCAACACTAAAGCAAAAAGAGGAAAAAGGGCATACCTTAAGAAGGTAGGAGGGGGTGGGAGGAACTGTTTGCTAAGAGAGAATGCTACAGATTGCTTCAAAAGATTATCAGGGTTCTGTCCTAGTGACATCTCTCTTTTTAGCTAAAAGCTACATAGAGTTTATATACTTGGAAAGGCGATTCTTCTTTATCAGAAACTGCTTAGCCAAAGGAAGAAAAAGGGCACAAAGATAAAAGGACCTTTCTTCCTTCTCCTTTTTAATTGACTTTTCACATGTGTAAGAAAAGGTCTAATAACTCAATAAAACTTGGCTTAGTCTTCTGCTAACGGCTGGCGTCTATGAGGAATTGATTTCAGTAATTAAGAGACTGGATACACTAGCGGGTTGAGAAATTAGTTGTTAAAGTGCAGAGGTAAGCAAAACAAGGTGATTCATCAGCATCATGTTGTCAGCGATGTCCCAGGCTTTGTCTACATTTTTTCTCTACCACCTTTAACTGGTGGCTTGTGTTCTCCCATGCTCCATGGTGAAATATTGCTGCAGGAGCTCCAGTGGTCATGTCACTATTCCAAGTAGGACAGCGGAAAAAGACAAGGGCATCTTGCAAAAGGGCAAAGGCAGATGCTAACTGTCTGAAGCAAATACTCTCTCAACTTTCTTCCAACTCTATGAGTCTAAAGGTCTGGTGCCGAGGCAACAAAAAGTGTATTCTCATATTACTATAGAGCCATTCAAACACTCTGTACTTTTAGCAATGTGATCAAGATATAAACATCTTGTTAGAAAAGAACTTGAGAATATATGTACCTAGATGTTAGTATTTAGAAAAGTATGGATTATCTCATAATTATTATGATAATCAATAATTAAAAGGTGACTAAATATGGATGATGAAACTGAGGCTAAAGAATTTGCTAATATCACACAGCTAGTAAATAAGACCAGGATTTGAATGAATCTGCTAACAACAAATGCATTTAGTTCAATAAAGACAAAGAGAGAGAATACTATATTTTTTTTTTCAAAAAAAAAAAAAAAAAAAAAGAAAGAAAGAAAAACAACTGCATCCTTGAAACTTCCATAATTGGGGGTGGGGTTGGCTGGGAAGGAAGTCTGTAGATAGAATCTTCACCTGTGGCTATCAGAAGCAAGCTTCCTTTTTCATTTAATGTGGTTTCAGTGAGACACTAAAATATGGCCACTAATTACCAAACCAATTTAATGAAGAACACGAAGAACAAAATATTTTCTTTAACAGCTCCTATAGCAACCGAATTGGAGCACCAGAATATTCCTCTAACTTATAATTTCCCCCTTCTTCCCAGAATGCCAAAAGAAGCTCTGAAATATCTCTATTAAGAAACATCAAGAGGCTCTATAGTGATTGATTCTGGGGTTCCCCAAATAAAAGAAAAAGAGTTATTTGGTTAATGAGGGTGCTTTTACAACATTGAAAATGAAAAATGAACATAAAACTTAAAGCATGGCAAGAGAAGTTCATTTGTCTTATTGAAACAAACTATAATATTTTATTTTTTCCTATTGGATCTTAGTACATGAGGATTAAACTATTTTATCAGTATTCCATTAGTGAATAGGATTAGAACTTTTATACTAACTTACAGACATCATTTCCATTAAATTTCACAATTATAGAGCCACATAACATTTTCATTGTATTGTCCCAACTAAATGTTTTCCTCTTCAATCAGGTGCTGCTGAACAAAAGGCATATTTGAATAAATAGAAAGTGATCCAGGTAATGGTCATCAGTATATTATGTGGAAAGCAATTATGACATTTCAGTGGTATAGAAAACCAAATTGGAAAACAAAAGAAAATGTAAAGCAGTAGAGAAAAAAATATACAGATGAGAATGAGGAGGGTGGGGTAGAGGAAGAGAGAAAAGAAAGGTGGAGAAGAAGAAAAAAGAAAGTAAGGAAGGAGGGAGGGAAGGGAGAAAGCAAAGGGATATGTGGTCATTTTAAATTAATCCCAAATATAAAAATTGAAAGTGAGTGTTCATTAAAGAGTTAGAAGGCCCCACATCCTATCAATATTTTTCCCCTCTCACTCACATTTCTTCCTCAGCTACCCACACAAATTCAGCCATATATTTGGTATAGGATACTAGGACAGGGAAAACAAACAAAAAACAACAACAAAGCTGTGCATGACAAATGTTATGATAAGGTTCTTACCATGGTTCTGAAGTAATCACTGTATGTCACTGGATGCAGTTACATGATCTCCTGGGCATTACCTTATGGGCCTTCCTTTCCTGTGTAAGAAATAGAATGAATAAATGTAGGTTGTTTTTAGCTTTAAGATTTTAAACTATTTTTAATCTCTCTTTCTTTATATCTCTATTTCTATCTCTATTTCTATTTCTATTCTAAGAAAATTCTCCAAAAGAGATGAACATATCCTTGTGAGACAGTCTTTGGTTACTATGGACAAAAGTTACTATTGAAATTAACCTCACAAATTTGTCTCTTGGCTTCCTTTTGATTGGTGTTTCTATAATAGTTTCTTGGGATCTATTCCTAGAAGTGGGGTCACTGGATCAAATGGGAGTTCCATTTTTAGTTATTTAAGGAAACTCCATAATATTCTCAACATGGCTGCCTCAGTCTGATTCCCCACAGCAGTGCATGAGGGTTCCTTTTTCTCCACATCCTCGCGAGCACTTGTCATTTGCTGATTTGTTGATGATAGCCATTCTGACAGGTGTAAGATGGTACCAATTCTCATTTTGATTTGCATCTCTTGGAAAATTAGTGACTTTGAGCATATTTTCATTTGTCTCTTGGCTTCCTTCTGAGTTGGGGGGTAGAAGGGGTAATGGAGGGGGATAAGGACACATAGGTAATACCTTAATCAATAAAGAAATTAAAAAAAAGACTTATCTTTGCCTTAAGCAAGCCCTGCCCATTGTTTTTGTGCATGCCTTTGAAATGCTTCTTTTTAGAGACTCCTCTTTATAAAGTGGACCACCCTAAAGAGAGCACACACTCTTGACTAAATCCCCATCTTGCTTTCTCCCACTTTTATGTAATTTTCCTTACCTTCCCTCCTTAATCTCAGATGCATAAAAGAAACTGCAAACTATTATTCTTCTGAGCATTTGAAATCTTTCTCCTGGCATATGGCATCAGCTTGGCTCAAATAAACTCCTAACAATTCTCTACAGGTTTGGACGTTCTTACAATGGCGGTACCTATCTCACTTGTTTATTCACCGCATGTTTGATTCAGAGCCTTCTGGCAGAGCACACCTCATTCACCAGCCAGAACTGACGTAAATATGATGGCTGTGCAGGCAAGTTTGCCTTCAGCAGCTCTTCATTCCTCTTTGCTGCCTACAATTTTGGCTGCTGCATCCACTCTTCTCATTCCTCTGAGTTCCTGCTACATGTGTGGACCATGTTATCCCCGACGGCACCTCACTTCAAATGGACATTTTCAGGTCACTTTTACTCCCATAGGACCCTGTTATTCACCAGTGGATGAATGGCTACTATTGCACAATCCAATGTTATCACTGTGAATGTCTTAATAAGCTTCTAAGTCAGCCCACTCCTATAGGGAGAGTTGGCATGAGTACAAATAAACCCAGATCTGCCCCCTTCTGTGATTATCCTGGAATTGTTTTTGCTGGTACCAAAGAGTCAGAGCACACAGTGAAAGCGAGGATGGAGTTTTCTTCTGAAAATAACCAGTGACACAAACATAAGTCATCTTGGGAAGAGCTTAATGTTAGAACCCCAGAATGTTAGATCCCCTCCCCCCCTAGCCCAGAGCAAGGACAATGGGCCAAGTACAGAAAGCTCCAGATGCCTAACAAGGGGCAAAACTGGGAAAACAAGAACCACACACCAGGGTAACCTCTCATCCCCTAGCATGTTGCTGGTCATGTGGTTTGGTCACCTAATCTTTCATATCACAGGTCAGGCGATTTAGACCCCCTGACCCTTTCCTCCCTAAAGATAACATCTAGGCCTCAGTTGTATTTCAATCCCAGGCTCAGAAAAGCAGCAAAGCCAGACAGTGATGCCCTGGCTGCCTCAGTATAGCTTTTACACTCAACATGTTTCCTCAGCCTTTGATATCTGATCATTTCAAGTTCCCCCTGTCATCCCCTTATAATAATGCACATACTAAGCTGCCGGCTGGTTGGTTTCTGATATGTGGGGTAACTGTTTATTAGGACTAATTTTTAATAAGTAGAAAGAGTAGGAAAATGTTAGGACTTAGGTGTAATACCATCCTTAATGGCCATTTTGTAAGCTTCCTGCCACAGGAGAATGCAAGACCAAGAAAAACTGGTTGAACAGCAGGAGTCAAACCTTACAAGGGATTGAAACTGTCCCAAAGACAACTGATCACACATTCCGTTAGCATCCAAGCCCAAATCAGCCCCCAGTCCCACTGCGGATAAAAGATTCCCACCAGTGACTACATAAGGATGAAACTCCAGCTCCTGGATCTGCCCTCATTGATCCAATGTCCCCTTGGCTCAGTGCTATGCAGCCCCTCCCTTTGGATAACTCATTCCCCAGCCCCTTTCCTTAGCTAAATAAATTCAATGTTTCTTAAATCACCGTCTGAGATGGCTACTTAGCCTGCCTGCTCACCATCCACCATGTTCACCTTTCACTTAACATTGAACCGGGAAGTGAACATGTATGGAGGTGAGGCTTAAGAAAAAAAATAAATCTTCATTCAAAGCACTAAGGTTTGATTGAACTAGGTGTTGGATCATTGAGATTATGAAGAAAAGTATTTGAAAGATTTTTTATAAAGCCTATCTGCTAGGTCTATATATTTTGAGATGAAGCCTGAATGGATTCACAATTTTAAAAAGAGACATCCGGAAAGACGGAAATGCTACCATTTACTTAAAATGATTTCCCAAGCTGGTGAGACATGTAGTCTAATGTAAATCTATTCTATCAAATTAAGCCTATAGTTTACATGAGTGTTCATTAAAGTTCTCAGGCCAAATCAACTTGGAACAAGAAAGCTTTCCAAATCTAGCTTGCTAGGGAAACATTGTTCTAGTAAATGTGTGTTTGAGATGTACATAAATTATTTTAAATTTATTGACACATGCTTTAGGACTTCTAGTTTTTGTTCACTCAAAATTGTTTCAGATTGCACTTTATTCCCAGACCTGTTTAAGTCTGTGTGTTTGAAACTGCTGGTAACTGAATTCCAGTTTGTTCAGACATCTAGAAATCAAGAGATGGGAACTTGCTGTGGGATCACGGTTTCATGGCAGATTAGATGGCTTTTGTCATTATTGCTAATCAGGCAAACTCACTTTTATGTCATCCTCTGCCTGACAACTTGATAACTGCTTTTTATGCTACAGTCTTCAGTATCTACCACCTTACTCTTTCATAGCAATGTCTCATAGCTTTTACCCCAGCAGGCACTTGATTAAAAGCCACTGAGATTCATTCAATGAATAACACACTGTCTACATATAATTAACTTTGAAAAATAAAAATAAAAGCAACAACCTGTTTTTAATTTTACGTAGGACAAAGTATTTTGTCAGCAGCGGAGGAGAATGTGCACATACCTATCAACAGATGGGCTTGGAAGCATAACTGAATTCTGACTTTAATGTTAAGTTGTGATTAATTATAATATTTTTGTTTGGATAATAAGTTATTCCTCTCAAATTGCAGGTTAGGGTTTGAAACAGCTTGCTGATCATTTGCCTTTTCAAAGTAGAGAGTCATTAAGATCCTAATGAACTAACATATGCTGGGTTTCTTTGTTTTGAAACTGTTAAAAATGTATTTCAGGAGACGAATGGCCTCGTGGAGGACTCGGGGAAGTTTGCCGGTGTTATTTGAGGGTACTTGTGCTCTGTTATCTATCTCAGAAGGAAGCATGATCCTGTTACAATAAGGTGACAATCAGGGACATGTCGATAAAGAAGGCAGTGTAATTCTATAAGGGAGTGATACTTCCTCTGGTTATCTGCTGTGTGAGCCACAGTCCCTAGGACAAAAGTAAATCAAGTACTAAGTTTTGATAGGGTGGTAAATGATCAATTCTATCTGCTCCTTAAGATGAGCTACGTTCCTACTGGTGCAATTTAGCATCATTTTCTGCTATACAGCTTCACACACATAACAGATTGTTTGCCATTTCAACTAATGCTTTGACACCATTGAACCGATAGTGGGACATTTGCTACAAACAGAAACAGACTCAGAGAATGGCAAAAGGATGAGGAGTTAGTACATTCTCCTAAGGAAGTCTGTGCATATAGCCTTGCCATACCCAGGACATGGAGAGATAAAAAATTATAGTGTAGGAAAGAGAATCCAGGCTGACTTTTATATAAAACATGTTTTAAGACAGATTACACAGAACAAAGATCCTCAAATAACTGTAAAGGCCTTTGTTTGATGGCAAAGGGAAATAGAAGGGCAAGAAAGGTGTAAAGTATTATGTCCCTCTAGTCATTTTTCCCAGCCATTTTAGACCATTATTTTATAAAAGGCAGCATCTGTGATTCTCATGACCTCTTGGCTGATCTTGTTTTGGACAGAAATAAGGAGCCCCTTACCTATAGCCTATTTCTTCATGAACAAAGTTTTCACAAACACTAATTTGCTTTTGGGTCAGATCTCAGAAGTGCTAGTAGATTGTAAGAGAAATCTGAACTTTGCCAGTCTGGATGTCCACCAGTATGGCACCAAAGACTAAAAACAGGACTTTGGGTGTCAGTGCTGGCCCACCCAGGAATGAAATAATTGTGAGTGTGTGTTTTGAGCTCACTCTTTCTGGAACACTATTCCGAGCACTTTTTTTCTATATTAACTCATTTAATGCAAGTATAATTTCAAATACCAAATTCTTAATTCATGATTCTATTTTTTTTTTGACTCTTGGTTTTCTTTAATAGACAAGATTGATTAATGGGAAGGGAAGAGGGAAAGACATCAATATTGACTTTCAGAGAGAGAAGTAGCATTAAAAGTGTTTGCTTGTGCCCAGGCAGTATAGCTCAGTGGTTGGCTGTGGACCTATGAACTAAGAGGTGATGATTCAATTCCAGGTGAGGACACATGCCCAGGTTGTGGGCTTCACCCCCCAATAGGGGTCATGCAGGAGGCATCCAATCAATGATTCTCTCTCATTATTGATGTTTTACTATCCCTCTCCCTTCCTCTCTGAATTCAATAAAGAAAAATTAAAACGTGTGCTTATGAGGAAGTGGCAGTATGTGGGTGTTAACCTACCTGATTATAGTGTG